CCAGCATTCATTCCTGCCTGTGGCAGGGGGTCAGGCTAGATGATCTGTTCAGGTCCCTCCTGAGCCTAGCTACTATGAAACTATGAAAAGGTATCATTTTGGAACCAAGAATTCTAGTTTTTTGTATGTCTTTTTGTCTCAGACCAACACGGCTACCAAGTATACCCGTAACACTAAGGCCAAAGAGCTGACAATGCAAATAAGAAGGCCCAAAGTGCCATCAGAACTCAGGTGCCTGATTGGATGGGGACTTGTACTTACTACAAGGAGATGTCATATTCTGGCAGGAGATGACTTGATAGACTTATGCTGATTCTGGGATCAGAGGATCTCTGAGGACTCGGAAGGCTCTTCCCCTGCCACATCTGAGGAGGAGGCACAGCAGGCAAAGAACAACTTTGGGGAGCTCCCCATTCTTTTCACGAGCAGATCTGGAGGCATACCACCTACCTCTACCTGCACCTGAGACCTCAAATGACACTGATGTTAATCAGCCTAGCCCGTCACAGAAAATCATCTCCTAGACCTCATGCCAGAGCAAGCCAATGTCACACACCCCACCGTTCCCTCATTCTCACAGCTTTCTATCCCCTCCACATTCCTACTGACCGCTCCCCTCTACTCCTGCCAACTGCTCTCCTGCCACTACCAACAAGACCCCCAAAAGCCACTCACAACAAGCCAGTCCTTAGCTTCCCATTACCCATAACTGAGCCAACCAGAGATATGGAAAGGATGGATGGACATACAATGCCCTGGTAAATTTCAGCACTCCAACATAGTAATCCCTATTTCTTTCCACCTCTGACCCAGCTGTCTGGGGGGGGCAAGAGGTCCCAGATTGTCACTTAAGGGGCCCAAGGGTAACCCTGAAGACAGCCTCGCCTCCCCCCCCCCCAAAAAAAAAACAGACATGGTTTTGGAGTGCATGAGTCAGTGTGGGGGAGGGGTGAAGCTTTGTTGGAATCACTGCAGTGTGGGATTTGTAATGCAAATCATTAGGATGGATTACCAACAGTGGAGTACTGACAGTCGGGGAGTGGGGGTGTCCTCCAAGCTTGAGAAATGGGGTGCTAACACACCATGTTATGGTCCTCTGTGCTAGGTCCTGGCATGGTCTGCATGGACCTGTCACCGGGATG